AGAACAGAGTGAGACCTCCCGCCATCAAAAAAAAAAAAAAAAAGAAAAAAAGAAGAAAGAAAAAAAGAAAGAAAGAAAGCAAATTACATACAGCTGTTGAATAAAACAAACAACCATTTAAAAAATGGGCAAAGACCTAGCCGGAGAAACTAGGCGCCGGCCGCGGTGGCCTTCAAAGCCATCGTAAATCCCAGCAACTTTGGGAGGCCCGCCGAGACTGGGCGGATCCACGCAGGGCCCCCAGGAAGATCGAGATCATCCTGGGCTAAACACGTGAACCTTTTTGCAGACAGGGTCTCACTCTGTTGCCCAACCTGGAGTACAGTGGTACCATCTCAGCTCACTGCAACCTTGACCTCTCAGGTTCAAGTGTTCCTATCAACCCAGTCTCCCAAATAGCTGGGACTACAGGCTCCCACCACCACACCCGACTAATTTTTTTATAGACATGGGGTTTCACCATGTTGCCCAGGCTGGCCTCAAACTCCTGAGCTCAAGCGATCCTCCTGCCTCAGCCTCCCAAAGTGCAGGGATTACAGGCATGAACCACCACACAAAGCCTCAAATCACTTTTTTTTTTGAGATGGAGTCTCGCTACGTCGCCCAGGCTGGCATGTAGTGGCATGATCTCGGCTCACTGCAACCTCCGCCTCCCAGGTTCAAGCGCTTCTGCCTCAGTCTCCCAAGTACCTGGGACTACAGGCGCACACCACCACGCCTGGCTAATTTTTGTATTTTTAGTAGAGACAGGGTTTCAGCACGTTGGCCAGGACGGTCTTGGTCTCTTGACTTCATAATCTGCCCGCCTCGGCCTCCCAGAGTGCTGGGATTACAGGCGTGAGCCACTGCACCCAGCCTCAAATCACTTATTTAAAGATCTGTTCTATCAACTTGAAGAACAATGCTCACTCTATACTCTCTTGTGATTTTACAGCACTTATCACTACTTTATATCACATATTTGCTTGTTGCCTATCTTCTTAAATATCAGAAATGTTGATGCTTGGTTTTGTTCACAGCTCTACTTCCAATGCCAGCGGTTTCTGGCACATAGTGTGTGTTCTGTAAATATCTGTAGAATGAA